TCTGCTGCGCTGGCTGATAAGCACAAAGTGTATGAAGAGGGGAGGGAAAGATGGACTTGCCCAGTCTCCACGTCTGATACGGAAACATGGGCAAGGCATGGTTTGTAGGTCGAGATAATAGCCCTTGCTAGGCTAACCTAAATATGTTTTATACACAGATGTAGCAGTGAGCAGGAGTGATAATGGCAGCGGCATAGATAGATTGCTACTATCTGGGTTACAAAAGGGCTTTTATTTAATTATGCTCAATTTGCTTCCTCTGCCTTTGGATTCCTGCACTGCCGGCGCAGGGCTCGCCAGTGCCTGCTGCCCAGAGGCAGTAGCAGGCAACGAGGCAGCGGATGCCCGTGCCCCGGGGACCCGCCCTGATGCTGCCTGGGGGTGGTCGGAGCAGCCTTGCGTGGGCGTCAAGCCCGAGCTCAGTGCAGTGGTGCCGTAGGACCCCTCATGTGCCAGCCAGCTTCCCCAGGGGACTGTGTGTGGGTGAAGCCCGCGCCCCTCCCGGCTGGCTTGGCTCAAGCCCCGCGCTGATTTTATTGTGGCTGTGGCACCTGGCAGAGCTGGCACACGCTACACTGCCTTCTATTTTTAAGACTTCCCTTTGAGGGTGTGCATGGGGTAGCTGCCATCCCTGCAGATCTCATCAGGGTGATGATGAGACTCAGCTGGTGGGAGAATGCTGCCCCCACTCTCCAAGACAGAGGCATCCAGAAGAGTCATAGGGATGGCCAAGGCCATCTGGGACCGTGAAGGTCCTCCTGGCTGCACCACGCAGACCGGAAGGCTTCACGCTGGAGTTTCCCCTTGCTGAGGTATCTCCCCCCAATGAGACGAGGGACAGGGCAGGAGGAGGTCCATCCAGGGTGTCCCTGCGTAGCCAGGGAGCCAGCGGCCCTGCTGAGGCCCCCGGCACTGTGTCGGCTGCTGGCAGCTCACGGACCCAGTGGGGGAGTGGGGACACAGCACTGGTGCCCCTGAGTGCCTCCCCCCAGTAACGCCAGGTGGGGGCATGTCCAGGCTCAAGGCACAGACTGAGGACCAGGAAAGTCCTGATGGCTGGCCGGGCAGCCCCGGGGCTCACTGCCCACCCCACTGGCAGCAGCACTCAAAGCCCCACTGGACGAGACCCGGTTTTGCTCCCAGAGGCTGGAGGTTTGGTGCTGGGCCCCAGCCAGGGGTCTCACCCCGTGGGCACGGGCTTTGGGCAGGGAGCAGGGGCAGAGGAGAGCAGGAACTAGCTGGTTTTTCTCACCACACTTCCCGTTTCCACCGCTTGTGGCCATCCCTGAAGTCCAAAGCCAGATCACAGCTTTTAAAGGTATGTTTTCGCTTCTCTATTAGCACGCTTCAGCTCTGACTCACTTCCTTTCCCACCACTGCTCGTCGTTGGCAAATGCTGAAGGAGGTCCCTCTGCGAGCTCCCACCCAGGAGGCCGGCAAAGCAGCTACTGGCATGCTTTGGTCTGTTTCCTTCAGCACGAGCAGTTTCAGTAACTTGCCAGGTCAGACACCCAGGCTGAGGTTCAGGATATACCTGTGCTCCCCTAAGCCTTGTTCCCCACCCACAGGCTTCTTAGGAGGAGCAAGCCAACACTAATCAGTGCTTGTTTGCTTCCTTTTATTGTTGGCTTTGAGCTTGTGGGCTCTCGCCCAGGATGTTTGATTTTTTGTCTGGAGCATCTGGAAACCCTGAGAATTTCAGACATTGCAGGTAGTTGTCACAACATATAGGTAATCCATCCCTGCCCTTTCAGAGAAGGAGGATCTGGGGAGGGCTGAAGTTTTTCACCAAGGAAGCTTCTAACAGATGCTTGAAGCTCTAGCTAAGGATGCATTAATTAATCTTCAGGGACTCTGGCCAAGCAGCCTGGCAGAGCAGCCCTCCTCCAGCCAGGTACAGGGAGGTGGAATGACATCCCCAAGGTCACCGATGGCACAGCTGGCAGGTCTGGGGATGGGAGCCTTGAGCCCTCCGGGCACTGGCAAGAAGCTGGGCTGCTCCTGTGCGAGCGTGAATGGGGGCACTGGTGCCAAAGGGCCTCGCAGCGTGCCTGCTGCCGGGCGCTCCTCCTCTGAGGTGGGCATGGGCTGCCCCAATGTTGGTGCTTGGAGGCTCCTGCTACGTCCCTCTGGTGTGGTGATAGGCAGAGTCCCTGCTCCCCCAAGGTGTCACACCAGTCTCCAGCCACTGCCTAAAGTCTCTTTGAGAGGTGGGAGAGATTTTGAAGCACCTGCCAGCCCCCAGTACCTCTCCTCTGCCCCGCGAGCTGCAGGCAGGGGCAAGACCACAGTTTTTGTCATGCTCAGAAAAACATCACGTGAAGCCTGGTTGCTTTTCCACCTTGATTTACTATCAGCTTTGACAAGCTCTGTCTCTTGGCTCCTCTGATACTGCCAGCCGTGTCTAATGCTGTTGATTTGATAATATATCTAATCTGGCTTTCTTGAAAACGGCCGGTATCTCAGAGCTGCTGTTCTCCTACTTGAACCATCTTCCTTCCTTGCCTTCTTTCTATCTTTCCCAGCTGGGGCCAATCTGTCCGGGAAATAGTCCAATTTGCTTCCATCTGATGGGAGCGGATCCCAGCTCCATTCCCTTCATCTACTTCGGAGTCAAAATCAGCCTAGGTCATTATTTTGAAATCCTTCATTTTCCTCCTCTGCATTTTTGCTGCTGCTTTTCTCCCTCAGTGGAGGCACTGGTGAAAATACCTCTAAATACCCCTTCCTTCAGGATTTTCGCAGAGCAACCACCACCCACTCGGCACAACACAGACATTTGAGGTCCAGACAAGATATCCCCACTTTTTAGACCCTCCCATGGTCTGAGGAGGAGCACCAGTGTCCCATGTTAGATACTACTTAAACTAGCAGATCTGGGCCAGGCCTAAATCTCTCTGCAGATGTCCCCTGAGGGCTGGGGGCACCAGACACATGTGGAGCCCCTCAAGCCCAACTCACAGTGCCCTCCATCACGCATCTCCCATGGCTGCCAGTTGCCATGTGAGGAGGCCAGGGTCTCTGTTACACGGTGGTGTATTGCTGCAGGACCTCTTGGCCCCTCTTGCTCCATCAGATGCTCGCTGGATGGAACAAGGAAGGGCCTATCTGAGCTCACCATCATCCTGGGTGCAGATTTGGTGTCAGGCACCAACAGGCCTTAACAGCCCCGAGCAGCCCCACCTGGAGCCTCCGCCCACACCCCTGGCCAGGGCCCAGGAGCTCATTTAAGCCCAGGGCTGGGTCCTCAGGTCTAGCCTGGGCTATGTTGTAGATGCTGCTCTCCAGCCCTGTCTCTGGCCTTGCCTTCTAGATGCACTGTAGGTACCTTATCTCCTGAATGGGCCCGCTGATGGTGCGTTACAGCTTGTCTCCAGTCTTGTCTTTAGCCCTGTCTCCTGGATGGGCTTTGGACTTATGCTGTAGCCTTGTCTCTGATCCCGTCTTCTTTTGCTCCTGATGGGAACCCCTGGATGGACCCTGGACCTGGTGCATTGCTTGCCTTGTCTGGGGCTGTTGGGGGACCCTGTCACCTGCCTCTGCCAGCTGTGGTCAGACCCTGCAGGGCTGTACCCTGTCAGTGAGGGCTCTGCCTGTGCTGGGCCCCCCCTCGCTGCTCCCCAGTGCTCAGCATGGGGAGAAAGACTTGCTGCTTCTGCACTGCCAGTGTCCTTCCATCTTTCATGGTGCTCAGCTGGCATTGCAATTTGCTTGGCTCAACCCCCCAGGACTGCGATTTAAGTGGAGCCATTAACTCAGCCAGCACCACATATCCAGGGTCTCTGGATGCAGTGTGAGCATGTTAATGTTATTTATGTAGTATTTCCTGATCTGAAGCACTGCAGCTTCAGTCAGGCTTTGCAAAAGAGGATGTAGCTTTAGACTGAAGTAGACACCATCTCTGGTGTAAGAGACCTCGCAGGAGAGGGTGAGGCAGGGGGGCTGTGTCAGGACCCAGGAGATGCAGCCAGCCTGAAGCTCAGAGTTTCCCTAGCAGCCCTCTGACTGTCGGCACAGCAAAAGTGGGCACCTCAGTGCTCTGATCGCCTAGGGCGAGGTGACTGTGGTGGAGGAGTCCCACAGATGGAGACATTGCAGATGTTATAACCATGCATGGAACTTCACCAAGAGCTTGTCCTTGTTTGATGCAGAAGCCCACTGCTACGAGACCTGGGTCTCTTCTGCTGCTGCTCAGTGATCTGCTGGAGGTGGGGGCTGCATGCATGGATCAATGGTTGGATCTGTCAGCCCCAAGAAGCATCATCAGGCAAGATCAAGGGAAATTCCTTGCACCAGCTCTGAAACACAGCTACACGGAGAGGCAAACGTGGCCTGTTGAGGAGCACAGAGCAAGGCTGCGTGGGGCCCGTGGGCAGGCTGTGGAAGAGCTGGATGCATCCTGCAGAGCTGCTGGGAACTGCAGGTGAGTGATGTGTAAATACATGAGAAGCTGCCAGGACATCCTTCTCTTGCTGGGTGGGTCTTCAAGCATTACAACCACAGTAGCGCTGGCCATCCATGTCTCTGCCATCCTGGGGAACTGAAACTGGTAAAGTCTCTGAGGAAGTGCTCCCAGTTTGCATGACTTGGGGTTTCCAGAGCATTGCTGGTCACCATGAGGTGGCACAGGAGGTCCTGCTGACACAGCTCGGGGTGGCCCTTGGGCAGCTCCCTGGGATCAGAGCCATGCCCCTGAAGACTGGTACAACCGTCCTTTGGAGGTCATCCGGGGAACAAGGCTTCCAGTATCCTCAAAGGGACATAGGAGGGAAAGTGGGGAGGCCAGATTGACGCCTGCTTTGGGACACCGAGTTCAGAGTGATCTTAGCAGGGTGTTTAAATTGGTGCTTGTGAAAATAATGAATCGGCCAGTGTAGCTGGTTGGAAATTATGGGTAACTGCATGTCCATTTGGCCTGCAGTCAAAAGTGCTTTAAGCCTGTAAGCAAACAAATGCAAACCTGTAGCAAAGTCCAGCCCTCCTAAAGGAGGGGAGGTAACATGGCGGAAAGTGGGGAGAGCCGGATGTAATGCACTTGTCCATGTGCGGGCTGAAACGTTCTCATCGAGTGCAAGGGGTCTCTGCGCTTCGGTTGCTGCGCTGCCTGCAGAGGACAGGCTGGCACATCTGAAATGGTCACTAAGCTTTTTCTAAGTTGATGGTGGTGAAAAGAGAATTGCCACTGAATTGTCTAGTTTATGGATCCACCAAGTTAATTAACCATGATTGATAAGCCACTGCCAGAATGAACCATACTGTGGGCTTATCTGTATAATCCCTGTTTGTGTGTTTAAATACTGATAGGAGAGCCAAAAAAAAAAATCCAGACAAAAAGATAAGGCTGAAGATGCATGGTGATGTCTTGGAAACTTAATTTAGCGGGGAAAATATCCCTTTTAAAACTACATTACTAACTGCTGTCAAGTGACAGCCATTTGGCCTTCACGTGCCGTAGATGAATTCAGCCAAGTTGTATCAGACCTCTCTTGAAAGCATGGTGTGTGCCACTAACCAGGCTTCTTCCCTGGTGCTCTGGGTGCATAAAATCTGCACGATTGCTTTGTGATGGGGCTTGTCAACAGAGACTGCAGCTGGGTTATGCATCACTTTAATTTGTCATGTGAGCTGGTTTCACACCAATATCTCTGGAGGGAAAATGCTGGAAAGCTGGGGGAGGGAGAAGAGGGGATGTCAGATGCAACCTCCCCGCCCCAGTTCTTGATGGAAATGTTTCTCCCTCTCCACCAGCTAATGACTAGTCCTAATTTAATAGAATGGAGCAAAGTGGCCAACATAAAATGTATGTGTTTTGTTTTCACATCTGAGTCTAACATGGCCACAAGTCATAGTCTGAAATGATTGGGGGTGTTATCAGTCACACAATCTGACATTTTGCCAAAAGGTCTCTTTTGTCTCTTCTCTGAAGTGTGAAAACAAGGGATGCTATTTCTTGTGTTCTGTAAAGAGAAATGTGGGTTGCAGAGTCTTAAGGAGCCATTAGATGAAGGAAACCAAAGAAGGAAAGAAAAATCAAGACCTCTTCCTTCCGATAATCACAAATACTGGACCTCTAGGGACACTTAATGGAAAACATTTTTAGGAAGCACCTGAAAAACTGCCATGGAAATTTCCCAGCCTAGCCATCATATTGTCTCCTGCATCCTTCACCGGGATAATCTTGAGAAAAATCAAAGAATCAGATCATCACTTGATTTTTTTTTTTTTTATTTTGTATTTATTTATTCAGTTGCCATTAATAACAATAAAAATGAAATTACCCACCCATGACTCTGAGTTCCCCTGACACTTAGTTAAAGTACACAATTATGCAAAACAGGCGGACTCCCACTGCATGTTATCCCAAGCAGCAAAAGCATAAACCAAACATAAGCCCCTCCACGGAGACAAATTACTCACCCATCAAAAGAATTACTCACTGTGGAGAAGTACACTTTTACAAGGTTGATTTTAAGTGTGCAGATGAATGTTACAGCTGGTAAGAATTCATTAGTCAATGAATCTGCAGCAAAGGAAAAGATAAGGAGACATAGATTTGTTTTTCCTAAGTGGAAAGGGTCTTATACTGTGCTGCTTGAAAATGAAATGCCCTATTCTCTTCCTTTCTCAAATCAGGAAGGTGTTTGATCATGTGTCTAGCTTTAAGCTCACAATTAGCCCTCCTGAAATTAGAATAATTATTTGTTTTCTTCAGGAGTTGCATTGTTAGACATCTTGCAAAGACAACTGCTCCCTACGAGAGGGGCAATGAGTGCAAAGGTATAATACAAATGCCTTTTTCTAACACTCCCCCTCAACATGCTGCCATTTCTCTCCTGGTATGTACAGAGCCAGGGATCTGTATGGCCACCTTGCAATCTGTCTGTTTTGTGGCTCTGTTGGCATTTGCCAAAATCAGGGCTGATTAACATGCTATTGAAAACCATCCCCTCCTGGTCCTGAGCAGCCAGCCCAACCATTCAGCTCTTCCCAATAAATTACTAATCTGGCCTTGCAACAAGCAGCTCCCCACAGCAGCTTTACTGCAATCCTAGTAAACAACATATGTGAGGATGAGCTGGTGAAGCTGCTGTAAAGGCATTTGCTGCTTTCAAATTCCAGCTCCCGTGTTGTGCACAGACCTGCTGTTACAGCAAGCAGAGCCCACCTGTTGGCAGCATGAACGCAGAGGCTAAAATTCAGTGTATGTGCATGTGCGGTGACTGCAGAGTACCGCTGAGTCCCTCCGGATGAGGAAGATCAGATACTGCAGCAGCAGAGCTCACCTGAGCACCTGGCTGCGTACCTCACGCTGAAGCCCATTCTGTGGCTAGCAGGCAATATTCACAATGTCCGTGTCTAGCACCTTTACTGAGCGCTACATAGACGTAATGCTAACCAAAGCTGTGCTGGGACCAACTTCCTTGGTTACTTGGTATTTCCTAAATCCATTCATTCTTCGGTTGCTTCTTCTGATGCTCCCTCCCCCTCTCCCTCCGCAGTCTGTGTCCATGGAGGATATGCACATGAAAGGAGGAAAGAATTGGACCCTTAGGGAGGAAGTAGACATTGGCTTTTTTTATCTTGTTCTGGAACAAAAAGCTCCAGCCAGGAGCTGTTCTAATTAGGTCTTAGCGTAAAACAGATGCAAAGTTTCATGCAGCAAGTGAAGCGGCATAGGGAAACGGATATATTTTTACATGCTGTCGTTCCCCATCTCTTGGATGGGATCAGAGCTATTGGATCTGAAGCTGATTAAGTGTGAGACCCCAGCACAATAACAAAAGTATTGGCCACCAGTTTCTTAATGATTGTCTGGGAGCTGGAGTGCAATGTTCATTTGAAATACAGGCCACAAACAAGCTCTTCCCATTTTTTACTCCTCCCCACTTTCAGTGTTAGAAAGAATGAAAGAAAAACAGGTTTGCTAATAGTGCCAGATCTGGAGGCAAGAGGTACATTTACATTCAAAACCTTGCATGAACGTCCAGCTGCAAGAGTTTCCAAGCGAGGCAAAAGCTAGCAAGTGAAAGAAGTTGGACAATCACACTCATTTGTCTGCCTTGTTTTCATTGAAATAATTCAGGCAAGACCAACTGTGTTACTTGGATTCTCTAAGGTATAATTTAGGCATGAGATGTTTACAATCAACTCTCATTTGCATCAACCGAGGGAAAACATTGGATCTGTTGGATATTTCAACTGGTGGGTTAATTACTAGTTTAACCACTAATATTTATTCAACCTTCTGCATGTGAACAGCCACCAGGCCAGATCCTGCCACTCTTGCTACTGTGCTTACTCTGCAGGTTTCATGCAAGCGAGAGAGGAGTGCAGGACGTGGCCCTGCGAGAGAGGTTCTAGTTTTGCCGAGGAGAATTGGTGCCAGAGATGGATGTCTGACTGAAAGCCCTAGAAATGTTAGATCTGCTGGGAACAACATGCTCTCCCTTTTTGCAGTCCCAGGAATGAGCTTAAACAAAGATACTGTTTACTATGGGCCACGCTCTGTCATCCCTGCTAGTGATGATTATTGAACTGCTTAGCAAATAGCTTGATAAAATCAATGGAACCATTTGTGAGATAGGAAACCTCACCGTGTGTGCAAGGAGCTCAGGGACTGGCCCCCAGACTCTTTCATGAGTGCTGCGCAGAGAAGTCTAAACACTGCTAAGCAAGGCTAAAATGAACAAGGCAATTGATTGACAGTTTTGATTGAAACCAGAAGTAAGTTTTGCTGTTGGTTTTTTTTTTAAACCCAGGCTTAAATAGACATCACTTAGAAGAAGAACATTGATCGAAAGATAAACCCAGTGCATGAGAGGACCCTGAAGGTGAAAAGCACCATTAAGTAGGTTAAAGGAGCCTGCCCTCGCATGACAAGCTGTTCTCTGTGCAGGAGGACAGAGAGCACCGAGAAGGAGATAAGAAGATTACGAGGTCAGATTCCAGGTTATGGAAACCTCGGTGGCTTGCTCCATCTTGGGCACCTCTGCATGGATTGCAGATGAGACCCTAACGAGTGCCAGCTGTGATGGTTTTGGTGCTACTCGCACCTCTCCTCCGGGAGCTGACCCAAACCTGTCAACTAATTTCTATATGCCAGCGGCTCTCCGGGTGGGTATTTAGCCGCCTGGCCTGAAAGGACTCACTAGGAGGGGCGAGAAAGGCCCCATATTTCATGCCACGTCCTAAAGTCACCTAGTGAAATGTGTGTTTTCCCACCGTGACCTCTGACAGACCCTTGGTTGCCTCCCCTGGATGATGGGGACAGCCGAGTCACTCGCCGGGGAGGAGTAGAATAACACTGGGCTCGGCCCCGAGTGCTCGGGGCTGGGTTGCTCTGCAGAGCAGGAGGGAGGCAAAACCAGGTCCTGCCCCGGATGGGTGTTTTGCTGCTGGTTGCAGGAGGTGGAAGTCAACAGGAGGGAAATCCCAGGTTCAGGTCTGGGAGAACACAAAAGCTGACGGAGCCCAAATCTGACCCAACGGTGTGAGTGAACTGGGTTTGCCTCTGTCCAGTGATCAAATCCTCCCAACACACACCTCATCTTGAGAGGCAGAGGAGCTCAGTGCCCAGGCTGTCACCTTCAGCGCAGAGCCAGTGCCTGCAGCTCGTTAGTCCTCATTAAAGCTCATTATTGCTTTTCTCTTCAGATGAATGCCATGAAGCGAAGGGTTGCTGCCGTTTCCCTAGCCTTTCCAGAGCTAAGCAGGCCATTTAATTTAATGAAGCTATTGCTCTGCACCCTGTGTAAGTAACTACATCACTTACTTACATTGAACTTGGGTAGGATGGCAGTGTTATTTGTATGATTCCTTCTACCCTTGCAGGGCAGAAGACGCTGAGAAAAGGGAGTCCCCTGTGACATCCATGACCCCTGAGATACACAGCACACCTATGTACTATGTAATATGTGGATGTGAAAATAGCAGAGAGACTACTGCTTAGATAGAAAGATGGAACAGCTGACATTCAAGTGATAAAAGTACCCCAATCTTTAACTGTATGGTGTTTACATTTTAAAA